CAGAGTAGGTTCCAAATGTATCTCCCTTGGAAGGTCATTCTGTAGTTGGGGCAACTACAGAGAGGCCAAAGATTTCAATCTTTTACTGCCGTTTACTGAATAATGTTCCTTTCTTTATAGCCTCCCCAGATAGTGCAATCCTATGCATGTTTACTCATAACTCATAAGTTCCATAGAGAGTTCAGTGGACCTAAGGCTGTCTTACCTCACTTACCTGGGAGATAGGGCTGTTCATAGATGGTTGCTATTTTTGCATGGGAGTCAGTCCATATTGGAAAATTCAGGTTGCACAGTTATAGTTGATGAGAAGTTCTTGCACAGCAGTTCCCCAAAATACCGGACTCTTCTGCAATAAGGAAAGTAAAGGGGAAATACCCTTGCTTTGATGCAACATCATTTAGCCTACCTGCAAACAACAACAACAACAACAACCCAGATTGATGGTCGTTGTGTAGCTGATGTAATCTGATCTCCCTGCAAACAAATCAGGATGAATGCTCAAAAAATAGCCCATATGTTTAGGATTGCAGCCTTACTCCCTGGTTCATGTAGGGTTGCCATATTTCAAAAAGTGCCATTTTTGAGGGTTTTTTTTAAAAAAAATGGCAAAAATGACACTGCCAACACGGCTTGCCGTACGTCCAGATTTCCCCAGATATTTTGCCGATTTCCACCAGGACACTGCTTCCAGCTACAGTATTCCGAATATGTCTGGACACATGGCAACCCTAGTTAATGTGAACAGGACTGCAGCTTAAAACTCTTGACAATTGTGTAATTTCCTGTGTCGCTCTTCTCTTTTCCATGTCAATTTTAATACACTTCTAATTTCATCACTCTCTCTTTTTGAAGAAAAATACATTCAATCATCTGTAGGACAAAGCAAATGGAGATGCTTTTCACATTGCTATACATTTCTTCTCACTTTTAAATGGCATCGATTTAAATGCAGATTTTGTGCGTGGAGCTTGGAAGCAGGGGCTTTCAATTTAAATGTTAATAGAAGAGTAAACTTGAAAATAATAATAAAAAAGATCTTTGTGAGAAAGATCACTTCCTTGCTGTAGTTGATATATTTCTATGCTGGCCCTTCTTTTCTTGTACTCCCACTGGCAACCGGCCCTGTATTAAATGGTCTTCACACGCACACACAAATTAAAATAAGAATGTACCTTTGGAAATGCCTAAATTAAAGTGTTTAATGCCAGAGTCTGCAGGAGGCCTGAGCAGAGACCTGAGGGGCTGATAACGCAGAGATCTCATCCTTCAATCTCTAGCTTGTTCCTTAACAGCCCATTCATCAAAAATAGCTGTTCCTAAAGCTCTATATGATTATTTTGAGGTTGATGCAGCATAATGTTCTGGTAGGAGGGAGATAAGAGAATATTTGCTCACACAGGCTTGCCGAACCTTCCCTTGATTAAAGGCAGCTCCACAGTGCAGGCCCTACCATTAGGCAGAGGGAGGCGGCTGCCTTGGAGGCAAATCCTGAGGGGGCTGGCAGTGGCAGCAAGATGTTGGAAGACAGAGTGTCCGCCCTCTGTCACCCCTGGCTAGCCTCAGGTATAATAGAGGATGCCATCCCATCAGCTGTGCCAAAGTAAGACCCATCTGCTAGTCCAGTCTGCTTCTGTACATCATATGGTGAGGAAGGTGCAATCTTGGCCTTTGCCTCAGGCAGCAAAATGTCTTGGGCTGTTTCTGGACAACCAGAGAGATTTAAGTGGATATAGATGTAGGGCGGAGTGAGGGAAGAATGTGAATTGAGATCTACGGATCAATCACTAGCTCATGGCTGACCCTTGGGGGCCAGTGTGCCCACCAATACCTCTGACAGTGACCAGGAATGGTCTCAGTAAGCATCTCCTCCAAAATCTTCAATGCATAAAAGACTGTTTGCTACTCCAGCTCAGTTCCTGTTTGGGAGGTGCCCAAGCAATTTTATGGCCTTATCCCTTTTTCTACTCTTTTAGACTCGGAAGCCATTATGCCACACCCTATGGCAGCCATGATGTATTATGCCATGCACACATGGTGGCCATTTTGTGTTAGGGAACAGGCTCACCCTGGCAACCATTTTGTGGCTGGTGCCTACCATGCTCACTCATACTTCCAAATGTACCCACTAGCTGAATGGGGCTGAATGAGATTATTTATAGTAGGTTGGCAAGGATTTCCAGCTCCCACTTGTCCTCAGGCAGAGTGCTCTCTCACATTGGCAAGTATCTGATTTGTAATCTGGATACGCTAGGATACATCTGCTTGTAGAGGATGTGCTCTTCTGATGCACCAATGTGGGAAGCTGCCCCTGAGGAGCTCCAATGTGGGTAGAAGACTAGCTATGCATTTGGACAACTCTCAAGATACCATAACCACATTCTACACAATGCTTTGTGAGATCAAGGTTTATATCTATGGTTGGATACAACTCGATGCCATTTTGAATTAAGATGGAGGACTGGACTTTTCAAAACTGCACTGATTTCAAAACTGCACTGATGTTTTGGTTCTTAGAATTCCCTAGGAATGCCAGGCAGGAGGCAGGTGTTATTTCTTGACTTTATTTCATTTGGTCTGGAGTCTATGGCAACAGCTCATCAAGGAGCCAAGGGACTCAGATGTCTGGGAAACCCTGGATTAAATTATGAGGGGAGCAGAAGCCACAAGTTAGTGATGGAGGGGAGACCTTCAAACAGCTAAGGGGAGCTGCTCTAACTCTGCATCCTGATGGGGCGTCTCCTTGTTTTCCTTGCCCCAGTCACCACTCGAACTGCTGTGTTCAGCTGGAAAGAGGAAGTGCTGATTAAACTGTATTGGGACTTCTCGGCTGAGAGACCCACGGGATTTCTCCAAGTCCTGCGATGCCATGTTAGCAGAGAAGGCACACTTCTTTTCTAGTCTGACCTCCTTCTTCCTAAATAGCTGTAGGGTGCTGATTCAGCGCTGTGCTGCTGTACATACACATTCATTTCCCATTGGAGGAATTGCTCTGAATAGACTCATCCTCAGTGCTGACATTTCTGAGCGGGCTGTTATGACATGGGAGGAAGGCTGGCCAGATTGCATCCCCTCTTTCACACCACTGCCATTTGCAAGCACTGCTCTCGGCAGCGGCTATGTCAGGCCAGGAAATGGCAACAAACAGAAAGATTCTCTTTCTGGCATGTCTGATCATTAATTTGTTTATTTAAAATGAATGCTCATAAATAAAGCATTTGGCATAGGGAGGCAATATGTTACTTGCCACCCCCACCCCCACTCTTTCTGTAAATGGAGCAATAAATACCCCTTAAGACCTGTCGAAAGATGGATAGTCTATAATAGCCAGATGATGTGTGTCACTAGGAGCTGAGATGATCCAAGAGGTCTTACAAGAAGACTTGGTTTTTCTTTTGAGCAATTGTCAATCAAATTATTATTATTATTATTATTATTACTATTACTATTATTATTATTATTATTATTATTATTTTAAAAACTGGCTTTTATACATTTTAGTTGCTTTTCAGCTGTCATGTATTTTATTTCCTGTTGTTCAGAGGTCATTTTGTTTAGCTGCTTACTATATTTTTCGGCCAATAAAGCAAGATGAGCGCCGCAACCCCAGAGTCGGCCACGACTGGACCTAATGGTCAGGGGTCCCTTTACCTATATTTTACAATGTGGCATTTCCCTTGTGGTTTGGTAGGAGATTTTTATGTGTGGTGTTTTATTTTGGTGTTAAGAAAAATGCTCTGTTTATTTATTATTTTATTTTTATTTATTTATTTTATATACCGCCCTATGCCCCGAGGTCTCAGCTTAGTTGTTTATTGTTTAGTTGTTCATTGCATTTTATAGGATTTTGAAATTATATGGGGGGGTGTTGTTGTTTATGGCATATGCCTATCATTCAAGATGCTGCAACTTATATTGTAAACTACTTGGAGATTTGTTTAAATACAATAGGTGGAAATTACTCATTCTCCCTAATACACACACACACACACACACACACACACACACACACATGACAGGGGGCAAAGCATCAGACACAGAGAGCTCCCTGCAACAATCTGAAGGCGCCATCATTCCACCCTAAAAATCTGACAGGGAAGCAGTATGTGTCGGCGTGGCTTTAAGAGGCAAAACCTCCACCTATGCTCAACATGTGAGTAAATCATATATCGCAAAGTTCCAGCCAGTTTCAATTATCCTCCATTCCAAATGTGTACATTCTACACTCCTGGAATTTTCACTGCTCGAAGACTTGGGGTATATGAGCAAGCAATGATAGTGATAAAGTCATTTTCATGTGGTCAGTTATCTCTCTCAAATGGTTTTCTTTTGCGGAAGTAATCAACTTTTCTCTGTGGTGCTAAATAAGAAATACCGTATTTTTTCGCTCCATAAGACGCTCCTGACCCTAAGGCGCACTTAGTTTTTAGAGGGAGAAAGAAAGGGGGGGAAATTCTGCGCGGACCATGTAAGCGGCTCTCGCTTTTCTTGCTTTAAAGCAAGCAAAGCGAGAGCCACTTACATGGCTTCTCTCCCACTTTGCGCAGCTCTCACTTTGCTTGCTCCTCCCACCTCGCTGTAAAAGAGGAGGAGGAGGAGACACCGGGACAGGTGCTTTGCTTGCTTTACAGCGAGGCGGGAGGAGAGATGGGCGAGCAAAGTGAGAGCTGCGCAAAGCGGGAGAGAAGCCATGTAAGTGGCTCTCGCTTTGCTTGCTCCCGCCCGTCCCTCCTCCCACTTCGCTGTACCCTCCTCATTTCCCCCCCCTTCCTGTCTGCAAAAGAGCTCTGCCTAACTTGAAAAGAACAGATTTTGCATCTCTCCTGCTTTAACATCAACCAAACAACCGATCTCTATGCAAAACTGTATGGTGGTGGGTTGGGGGCAACTTGACTTTTGTATGTTGCAGCTGCTCAGAGTGAGACTGGGATCTATAGTTCCCTTAACAGAAATGAAACAAACCATGAGCGCTATTAACAATATGTCTCTTTTTCGTGTTGCAGACTTGCGCAGAATGACAGCAGGCTTCATGGGCATGGCTGTGGCCATCATCCTCTTCGGATGGATTATCGGGGTGCTGGGCTGCTGCTGGGATCGAGGCCTTATGCAGTATGTGGCAGGACTTCTCTTCCTCATGGGAGGTAAGGTGGAAAGAGGTTGCCATGAAATGCCATTTTGCTTCTCCACATCTCCATTTTGTAGGAGCTGCTTCCTTTCAAAGTACCGGGGGGACTCTGTCCCAGTTCTGCCATTGCATTAATGCCAATCCGCAGCAACTTGTTAAAAATCTGGTACCACAAGCAGTTCCTGAATTTATATAGCACTTTTCCTAAGGGCTCGATTCACTTGCATTATGTCAGTAATCCTGACAAGGTCATCTGAAGAAGGGCTAGGTAGACTTCAAGCCTGTGGCATCCATGTTGTGGTTGTTGTTTACAAGATCCATCAACCACAGGCAGTTGAAATATAGTGTTTGGGGTATTCATGTCAGAATTAAGGAACAGGACTAAGCCCAGTACACCCCAAATCCACACCTTATTTTCCTCTTGTTAATGGAGAAATCTGAGGGCTCCCTTGGACAAAAAACAAGGACACCAGCCAGGAATACCAGAGCAAAACAGCAACCAGTAGGCTTGGTCTTTATTGAAGACTGTCGCGACAGGACTCCCAAGGTGGAACAAGATGGAAGCCCTGAACAAAAGAGCCCCCAAACTTTTTAACTGCTAATCCCCATGTTACACCCCCTCCCAAACTACACCACTAATACATCACAGTTGCATCATGAAAGGGGAGGTCTGGTGTCAGTAATCTGAGCATCCTGGACCCTGCCCCATGGATCTCCTTGCCCTCCACCAAACACCCATCAAGTGTAACAAAAGAGATATTTACATTTCCCTGCTTCCCAGCCAAGTTAATCACACCCTTTTGTCTTCATCTGGCTTTGTTATTTCTGGAATGGCTACCTGTCTGGCACTCAGGTATCAGGATGCCAGGAATTATCACTCAGGCAGAGGGGCTGCTGAGTAGCTCAGCTCACATGTCTATATGAATTTCTGAAGTTTTCCCAGTGAGCCAGTACATAGATACATTTATCAGTGAATTGTTACATTTGGTATCGTGCAGCAAAGGCCCTTCGAATAGATAGGAAGAAACTGTGATGGGGTGTTTTGTGGGGACAAATCACAAAAGTCACAAAAGCGATTGTGCTGGTTTTGGTAGTGAACACTCGTAAGTTTCCTTCCTGCCAGCAGTCTGATTTGGAAAACAAATAAAGCTTTATCTTGATAGTATTGCTAAACAACTGGGATTCAGAGATCTTTTTCAATCTACTACAAGTTACTTAAAGCGCTACCAGTCAAGCCTCTGTCTGTCTCCTTCTCTCCCCCTCTTCTGCTCCTGGCCACATGTTTAAGACCCAAATTCAACACCCAAATTCAGTTTGGGTCCTAGATCCAGGTTAAGCTGGCCCTGGCTCATCCTTGGTTAAATCAGGGCTGTAGCAAATTGCTATCTTGGGCTTCAGATAGAATCCAGTTGGGCATGCCATACACTGGATTCTACTCAGTATATTTGTATTATCATCTCCAGGTGACAGATGGGTGGGTTGGGTTGTGACTTAGAGACGAAGGCTTTAGATTTAAACAAGGGCATGTTGACATTATGTTGCGATGGATTTGTTGTTGTTTTTTAAAAAATCCTTTAAGGAAGAGGATCATAGCTGTCAACCGTCCCTTATTTGGCGGGAAACTCCCTTATCCCAGCGCCGTGTCCCACTGCTGTCCCTTATTGATGATGTCCCTTAAATTTCCCGGGTTTCATGCTCGGGAGGGAAGCAGCGGCTCGGGGTCCTCCGCCGTGAGAGAGAGTGTGCGCTGGCGCCGTCGTCCTGGCACAAGGAGTTCCATCAGCCCTTCTCCGCCTGAGGGGGGGGAGGGAGAGAGACTCTCGCCCACGCCGCCCGCGAGCCCGGAGGCAGCAGCGGTGGTGGCAGCTGAGGAGGCGGCCTGAGGGAGGAGGAAGAAGAGGGACGCAGAAGGGTGGCGCTTCAGTGGCCGCCGTGGCACCGCAACCGCCTCATGCCGGATTGTCAATCCTACCAATGTATGTAACTCTTTACAATAGCAAAATCCCTTATTTTGGCTGCTGATCCCTTATTTTCGAGGCTGCTGGTCCATTATTTTCAAATCTGTAAGTTGACAGCTATGAAGAGGATGCACTTCTGTTTAGCACCCTCACAAAACTACCATTTCCTTGACTACTCAAGAAAAGCCACGGCAAACTGATTTAAAACTGGTTTAAGTTGGTTGGTTTCAATGGAACACAGTCTCACGTAAGCATATAGGGTGGCAGTCTAAATCATCTATAACTGAACTAGGTTGAAACGAGACATTTTGAGGAGGGGGGGGTTGTCTGTGTGTTTTAAATAAAATGGGCTGCCATTAATTTTTTGGTGTTGTAAAACAAGCTGGCGTGCCTCAAAATGGTATTGTGAGAAACGAGGCCTTCAAAACATGAATGTCGTGAAAGAAAGTTGAAAGTGATCCTTCCTTTGTAGCTCTGAGTAGTTTTATAATACGTAAGACCAAATTTAAGCTGCACTTTTATGTTTAAACAACAGCCAGCGACTAGATAAAGATCTTTTAATCGATTAACTGTCTGGCTTTTTACTGCTTAATCAACTAATCACATATTGCTGTGCCGCAGTAATCATCCTTTTTCTGAGGATCTTGACTGAAGGTGACAGTTTCTTATTGGGCCTCGTCTTAAAGCAAACAATCTTCTCCTCATTGCTAATCTTTATTTTCTTAACTTGTGAAACAGGGAGTGCTGTGTTTCTCTGAGATGTCTTAAAGAAACAAGTAAAAGTGACAGTGCTATAATTCTTTCTCCCCAACTAACCTAAGTTGCTCAATGAGATTTTTAAACCCACCAGTCCAAAGATGCACACGGCACCTTGTTCACAATTATCAATAGTGCTTTTTCACTGCCTTAGTACCTCTGCCGAAACATTTGGCAGGGAATAGAATCCACAAAGTTTTCTTGGTCTGAACGAAATTACTTTTTGGAGAACCAAAGGGAGCTTGCTCCAGAGTGCAGTAATTTGAATAACCGGCATCCTTTTTAATTCTTGTATTAAAGCTTGCAGTCCTGATTGGGCAGTTTTGACACTTCATTTGCATAAATAGCTAATGAGGCGTGAACTCTCCTTAGCTTATCTCGGTTTTTGCAAGCTTTCCTTGTGAGTGCTCAGAAAAACCCTGTGAAGTCTTTTTAAAGTATTCATAAGGAGAATTAGGGAGAAAAGAGGATGAATGTCCCATCCACCAGTTCTTCTTTCCCAAGCTCAAAACTCTTACCCTTGAGACAAGGGGGGGTCAGTAAATGGTGGCAGAGAGGGCACACTGGGGACATGATAGTTCTTACTGTCGTTTCATGCTGGGGAGCATGGGATCTGTTGTTCCTTCTCCCTCCTGAACTGAATTAGAAGCCAGAGGAAACTACAAATCCCATTCTCCCCAGAAGGTAATTGTTGTTGTTTAGTCGTTTAGTCGTGTCCGACTCTTCGTGACCCCATGGACCAGAGCACGCCAGGCACTCCTGTCTTCCACTGCCTCCCACAGTTTGGTCAAACTCATGTTGGTAGCTTCAACAACACTATCCAACCATCTCGTCCTCTGTCGCCCCCTTCTCCTTGTGCCCTCCATCTTTCCCAGCATCAGTGTCTTCTCCAGGGAGTCTTCTCTTCTCATGAAGTGGCCAAAGTACTGGAGCCTCAACTTCAGGCTCTGTCCTTCCAGTGAGCACTCAGGGCTGATTTCCTGAAGAATGGATAGGTTTGATCTTCTTGCAGTCCATGGGACTCTCAAGAGTCTCCTCCAGCACCATAATTCAAAAGCATCAATTCTTCGGCGATCAGCCTTCTTTATGGTCCAGCTCTCACTTCTATACATCACTACTGAGAAAACCATAGCTTTTACTATACGGACCTTTTACTATACAGACCAGAAGGTAATAATGCACCTTTAATTTCCAGATTAGGAAAGGTCTGATTTCTAGTTTAGAAGAATGGGTAGGTAGTACTAGGGGTAGGGGTGGTGGAGAATTTTTATTCAGTTTGCAGTTAAAGGCAAACCTAGCTAATCTGCATTTTATTAAACAAAGAGAGTGGAAGTGAAGATTTCAAAATTTGCACTTCTCTGAATTTTGCAATTCTGTTATCCAGCCAAACAATGTGTACAAGGATGCATATACCAGAGTAAACATATAAAGATGCAGTACATTTGCGCATTGGGCAAAATTGCATACAAACAAGGATAAAGTCACACTGATGAATTTCATGAAGATAAATAATAAGTTTCCATTAATTATTTTTTTTAAAAAAATTGCAAACTGCTATGGAAATGAATTTAAGGCTGGGGGGGGGGTGAGAAAATGAAATTGGCAAATTAGCCCATTCCCTAAATAGGAGTTAATTTCGCAGTGAACTTACCCTAAATGCAAAGGGATCTAGACCCAATTTGCAGGGGTGGGGGTGGGGTTGAGGCTTTTTAAATGAGGGAAGTTTGCGTTCTGAACTCTTCCAATTCAAACTTTCCCCTCATCAGTATGAAAAGTTGCTCATGCAAGCTGTGCACTTGAGCGAGCAACGTTTCCTGCTTGGCCTGACCCCATGAGCAGTCAGGATGTGGCCCTGGTAGTAGAATCCAGCTTCGTGAGAATCTAAGCTTCTATTCTTAATAATAATTTTATAAGCAGGCTTCCGGCTCCTGCGGTTGCCAAGATATGCTTGAAAATGTGTGGGCAATGCCTGGCAAAATCTCAGGCTCCGCAGGCACGGCTGTGCAAAATTTCTCGTGCTTGGAGTTGGAGATAGGGCTTTGGTGCTTTCTATAGTTTCTTACCCGCCCTGACGAGTAGGAAAAGAACAGAATAAATGGCATAAAATAGAAGGGGGGAAAGTGGACTGGATTATGCAAATTGGCTCAAATTGAATAATGCTCAAGCCACAATATTCAGCTGTGACTGATTCTTTGTACAGAATCTGGATTATGCATCTCTCTCTCTCTCTCTCTCTCTATATATATATATATATATATATGCAGACACAGTCCTGAGAGATATATCAGATGAGTCTCAGCAT